TATATATATATATATATATATATATATATATATATATATATGCAAAATGTCTCCATACCCCCAATTTTTTACTTCATTTCTCAAGAGACCCAAGAATTTAAACTATTTCTTGCAGTATAAAGTCTCTATCTTTTCTATCTTCCTAGCCCCTAGACTCCTTTGACCATACATTATTGACCTAAACATTTTGTAAAATGACTCTCTATCTCTCTCAAAATTTTGTATCTCTCTCCTCTCTCTTTAAAAAGTCCGTCTCTCACCTCTCTCATCCTCTCTTTCAATTTTTTGAGCTTGTAAAAAACTACTCTCCTTCAATTTTTCCACGATTTTCATGGCTGATTCCTCAATTGATAAGGCTTATCCCTCACATGAGAAACAAATTTCCCACCCCTAATTCTATAAGAACTCTCATCAGACTTTGGGGTTCTATTGTTTGAGTTTTTTGGGATGGAAGGGTTTTGTGGTCTTCTTGTCCATCACTGAATGGGTTTTTGGAGATAGAAGAGGTCTTAGAATTAGAGGAACTTTGAAATGAGCATCATCATCAAAAGGGTTATCAAAGAATTCGTCAAGAACATTTGCAGTGAAGGTCTCTTTGAGGAGGGAGAAGAGGCCAAGTTTCGCAATGATGAGATGCTCCTTCCCAATTGAAGGGCGAGTCTCGTCTCCACCAACTCTGCGTGTTCTCTCTCCGCCAGAGGCTTGTCTAGGGAAAACGACAATGACCTGTCGAGCAATTGGTAGAATCCAACGTTGTTCTTGTACATCTCGAACACCATCCAGACTTGCCCACCATGGCTGAAGCTGTTGACAACACATGCAAAGGCACCAGCCACGACGCCAACCACTATTGTTGAGCCCCCAATTGCGTCGCAATGACCATCAGGATGGGCCTAGCCACAACCATCTCCCTACTGCAGTTCAAAACCAGCTTGCTGAGCCTCATGTACTCCGCCGTATCCCTCTCCGGTACCACGCCTGCCATCTCCCTCTCCATCTCAGTGCTCCACCCATTATCAGTCGTCTCCTCCTTAGTCTTGGAAGGAGTACCGGCAGCTCTCTTGGGCCACCACGGGCTTCATTTCAGAGGGGAACTTTTCGAGCATACCAGGGAGCAAGGGCAGGGGGTAGGCTTTGTTGATGGCCAACACTTAAGCCATGGCATCATCCAGAAATTGAGAAAGCTTTGGTCGAATAGAGGAGTGAAGGCCCAATGTGGAATGGATATGCGAGTGGAGGCGCGGCTTTCCTTTGCTCCTTTGCTAACTGAGAGGGTTGGATCTTGCCCATCACGCACCCCATGGCAATGGCCATCGAGTAGAGGAAGGTGGAGGAAAGGGTGAGGGAAAGGTGGGCAACTTTAGAGCTCAGAAATGATGCGAGTTTGATTGAATTGGTAGAGTTGAGAAGAAGTGTTTTTCAATAGAGTTCTCTTTGAGGAGCTCTCAACTGAGTTCGAGTGTTTTGATTGTTTATCTTTGTTCTTTTGAAACTCTTTCCATTTTTTAGGGAAAAAAAAATAGATGTGGAGTCAGAGAGAGAGAAAGAAAGAGAGAGAGAGGAGAGAGATACAGAGTTTTGAGAGAGATAGAGATGGAGTCATTTTACACAATGTTTAGGTCAATAATGTATGATCAAAGGGGTCTAGGGGGTATGAAGATAGAAAAGATAGAGATTTTATGCTGCAAGAAATAATTTAAATTCTTGGGTCTTTTGAGAAATGGAAGCCAAAATAGGAGGTACAGAGATATTTTCCCATATCTATATTTATATATATATATATATATATTGATTTACGTACCAGCCATAAACTTTTTTAAAAATCCGAAATTCTCTATTTATATGCACAAATTATAAAGGAGTTCAATCAAACCTCTTTTTTTTATTTTTTCCAAAATTGCCTCGGTTTGAATTTTATTTTTATTTTTTTAGTTTTTTTCGTTAATGAAACAGCTAAAATTTTTTTTCGGTATGAGGATGTCCTCAGACTAAGGGTTTATTTTGAAAAAAAAAAAAACGGATTGACTAGCCTTCTTTGTATTGTATTTTAGAAAAAAAAATTAGAGTCCGTACATAAATTACTCAATTACCAGATAACCACAAATTTTAAAATTTGGGAATTAATTACCTTCTTTCTAAAAGAATTTCTAAGATAATAGAGACGATCCCTCAATTCCCAAACTTTAGAATTTCTATTTCTTAGAAAAAAATTATTGTATAATTTAGTTTAAAATATTGGCATTTTAATCTCTGTTATATATTGGGGGAGGGACAGAAGAAAGCCCAAAAATATTCCGAGAATTTGACCTGGTAAGTAGGAGGATATATTGGGGGAGGGACAAAAGAAAGCCCAAAGATATTCCACGGATTTGACCTGGTTAGTAGGAGGAGGGAATGGAGAATGGATTTGACCCGGTAAGTAGGAGGAGGGAGTGGAGTCATCCTCCAATCCTGGCGCAAAAACATCGTTCATGCGTCCACCATTTTAACATAAAAACCAGAAACTCAGGAGTAAGAGGCGTTTTACGCGACGGGCGGAGCCACCACCTTCCTCTGCACCAACCAAAGCAAGCAAGCTAGCCTCCACCTCTATGGCGAGCACGACCGCGGCGCCACCCACTAGCAGTGGCATCATTTTGCATATAGAGCAGAACTACTCATGTTTTCTCTACCGGAGTAACGTCCCCGGAAGGATGTTGATGCTTAGCCTTCAGGCCGCCATTTTGATCACCCTAGTTTGGTTGATCCGGCCCATTTTCCGACGCCTTCGCATGCCTCAGACCATGGCCGAAGTGTTCGTAAGTAAATTGATCTGAAAAACATCTTTTAAGCCAAGTAAAATTCGCATGTCGTCATAGTCTTCGTGAGTATCCTTCGTAAATTAAATCTGAATCAATCATGGACTGTTGATACAGAGGCTTGGTGCCCAGAGGAAAGAGAGAGAAATGGGTAACAGGGTGAAAGAGAGCTGGGTTTTTGGGTTTGCAATGAGAGAGCAAGAGAATTAGGTCATGGGTAAATAACGATAAAACTGGTGTGGGGTTTGCAAGGGTAAAGAGCCTAGGTACGATAACGTTTGCCTTGACATGATGGCAGTAGTTTTTTTTATTGAATCTAAAAATCTATCAAATTGGTGCCGTTATTTAAATGATTGAAGTTGGTTTCATAAGATTTTTGGTATTGCAATCCAAAACTATTTTAATTTTACGTACATCCAAACTAGCATTTAATCAATTTAGGTGGTCGTTTTATATCCTAAGGTATGCAAACCCATGTTTTGTATACACAGGCTATCTTGCGTTTGGCAACTTTTTGGATACATAACCATGTTTTATGTAACCAAGAAAGAGGGTTCGGTATACAAAACAAAACAAAAAAACTTGAGTTATCCAAAACATTGTTTTGTGTAAGCATGAACGTATCTTAATATTTTAAAAAAATAAACTATATCAAATTTTAGAGAAAGAAACTACAAAGAAAAAATAAAAATAAAAAATTAGATAGATAAACTATCTCAAAATTGTTAGAGAGTGAAATTATATCAAATTTCAAGTTTTAAAGGTGGAAGGTATCTTAAATTTTAGAGAGAGAAATTTCTTAAAAAATAAGAGCGATAACCTTTCTCAAAACTTTTAGAGAGAAATTATATCAAATTATAAATTTTAGATGAATAAACTATCTTAAAATTTTAAAGAGATAAAATATATAAAATTCTAGAGAGAGAAACTACCTGAATCTTTTTTAGAGAATACCTATTTCAAGAATTTAAGAAAGAACTAAATCAAATTTGAATTATTAGAGAGAAACTTTAAAGAGAACAACTAATCAAATTTTAGAGAGAAATTATTTAAAAACTTTTAGAGAGAAAAACTATCTCAAAATTTTTGGAGAGAGAAAGTGTCTAAATTTTTAAGTTTTAGATAGACAGTATCTCAAAATATAAGAGAGAGAAACTATATCAAATTTTGGAAAGAGAAACTATCCGAAATTGTTAGAGAAAAAAACTATTTTAAAATTTTAGAAAGAGAAACTATCCCAAATTTCCTGTTTTAGAGAGAAATTAAATCTTAAACTTTAAAGATAAACTATATCAAACTTTTAAAGAGAGAAATCACCTGAAATTTTTTAGAGGGAGAAACTATCTCAAACTTTCAAGTTTTAGAAAGAGAAGTATCTTAAAATTTTAGATATATAAACTATATCAAATTTTAGAGGGAGAAAGAATCTCAAAATTTTTAAAGAGAGAAACTATCTTAAATTTCAAGTTCTAGAGAGAGAAGTTTTTAAAAATTTTAGAGAGAGAAACTACCTAAATGTTTAGAGAGAAACTATCTCAAAATTTTTAAAGAGAAATTATCTCAAATTTTAAGCTTTAGACAGATAGAGTATCTTAAAATTTTAGAGAGATAAACTACCTAATTTGTTTAGAGAGTAACTATCTTAAAAATTTTGGAGAGAGAAACTATCTCAAATTTTAAGTTTTAAAGAGGGAAACTGTATCAAAATCTAGAGAGAGAAACAACCTAAAGAGAGAACTATCTCAAAAAATTTAGAGATAGAAATTACATCAAATTTCAAGTTTTAGAGAAAAAGTATATTAAAACTTTAGAGAGTGAAACTATATCATGTTTTAGAGAGAGAAATTATCTAGAAAAATTTAGAGAGAGAAACTATCTCAAAATTTTTAGAAAAACTTCCTCAAATTTTAAGTTTTAGAGAGGGAAAGTATCTTATAGTTTAGCGAGACAACATATATCAAATTTTAGAAAGAAAAACTACTTGAAAAAATTTTGAGATAGAAACTATCTCAAATAATTCTTGGAGGGAAATTTCCAACTATATGAGATTTTAAATTTTGGAGAGAAAAACTTTCTCAAAATATTTGGAGAGAAAACTATATCAAATTTAAAGTTTTAGACAGTTTTCTCTATAAAAATATTGAGATAGTTTCTCTCTCTAAAATTTGGTATAGTTTCTCTCTCTAATTTTGGTAGAAAATTTATAATGGGGAATTTTTTTATATGTATTGTTGCATATGGTAAATATGTGTAAGGTAATTTTGACATGAAAATATTTCGGACAGAAATGTTTTATACCTACCAAATGTGTCTTAAACCCAAGTTACGGACCCAAACGACGGATTTGCATAACCTCAGTATTATTACGAGCAATCAAAACAGTCATTTCTCAATAACCAGGGTGATCCAAACGGATTAAGCCATGCAAAATGAAGGAAGGGCCTGAATTTTGAATTTTTCCGGCGTGTTTAGGGGGGGATCATTATGGGGCCCACCTTTTTCGGCAGCATAGGTTGGGTCAAGGCGGAATTGTTCCCGGACACGAGCATCGGCGTGCTGCGCATGTTCTCGATCACAGGACGCCAGCTCTTTTGCTTCCTCGTCGGGCTGGAGCTTGACCCAGCCCTCATCATGCGCGCAAAAGGCCGGGCATCAGTAATCGCACTCTCTGCGATAATCGCCTCGGGCTCGGTCGGAGCACTGGCCACCGGGTACTTGCACCCCCTTGTGAGTCCGAACGCGACACCTGGCCAGTTTCGAGCCATCGTAGCCCTCTTCATGGCCAATGGGGGATCCACGGTGCTCCACCGCCTCGCCACCGAGCTCAAGCTCGGGACCTCGGAGGTGGGCCAGCTCGCGCTCTCCGCTACTGTCTTCACCGATGTGTTGTGCCTCTCAACCCTCTTCTTCGTCACCTCAGAGTCAATGATTGATGGCCGGATCGGCGACACCATCACAGGCGCGCTCATCGGTGTCCTCATCATGCTCGTGCTTCTGTTCGTGGTGGGACCATCAATGGTGCTTTGGGCGAAGGAGGGTGAGCCCGAGCGAGCGCACATAACCGACTATCACCTATGCATCATCATCTGTCTCGCAATAGCGTCAGGAGCATTTGGCGAGACTCTCGGCTACGACGGTATGGTGAGCGCGTTCTTGTTCGGCTTGCTGTTCCCGAGGCAGAGGCGCATCGCTTTGACGGTGGCTGATAGGCTCTATTACCCCGTGCGCCTGGCAATCTTGCCAACATATTTGGGCTTCATCGGGCATTTCTCGGACTTGAGGTTGGCGTGCGACAGGCGGGGGATGGAGGCGGTGGTGGTGATGGTGGTGACGGCGATTGTGAGTAAGCTGATCGCGGTGGTGGTGGCAGCGCTGGCATACAAGATACCTTTGCATGAGGGGCTGGTGCTGGGATTCTTCCTCAACACCAGGGGCGTGGCCGATGTCGTCCTTTTCAGCGCCTGCTCCAACCGAGGGGTAAATCATATCATACCCTCTCAGACATTTCGCTTCAATTCAGTTTCAGTTTCGGGGGAGTACAATACACCTCGGATGTCTGTGTTATGTAGTACGATACACCATAGGGATTACCCACCTTTGCTTGGACCAGCTAACCTCGGATGCCCTTTAAGAGAGTGATTTATGTGCCGACGTTAAAATTTTTCCTAACTCCGTTTATAGATAGAAATTACAAATAAGGTTGGTCAAAGTCGTTTTTTTTTTTTTTTGTCAAAATTTGTTACTGATCCGAGGACTGACTGAATTTTAATTTCTCGTTTTAGTTTTTCATTAGTAGGGCACGGCACTACTAACAAATTTTTTTTTAAAGAAAAATTTGGACTGAGGATTCCATCCTGAGGGATAATTTTAAAAAAAAATGAGGATTGACCGACCTTCTTTATAATTTCTGTATACAAACAAAATATTTTATATTTTAAAAAAAAAATTAAAATCCATACGTAAGTCACTCTTTGGATCCAAATAATACTCTTAACCAATGTTTTAAAGCTTAACTCGAGGCAAGGCGCGTAACTAGGTCGAGCCCGAGTGCAGTCAGAGTTATATACAACCCAAGAATATGTTTGAAAAACAAAAGAAATTAGAAAAACAAAGGTTAAAAATCAAAAGCAGTAATGATTACAACTTGATTTATACCATCAATATTTCAGGAAAACAAAAACAAAAACAAAAGATACAATAAGAAAGTTCCAAAATCATCTTATAAACCATTGAAATCACCTAAAAGCATAATTCTAAATAATATAATGCTATTTTCCATATTTTTTAACATTTCTTATAATAATGGTATTTTCCATATTTCTGTATTTTCCAAATTTTTTAGAGGCATAATTGTAAGGGTTTTTTTTGTTGCCCTGTTAGTTGGGCACCCCAACTTGCATAATAAACAAGCGATCACATAATAAACAAGCGATGCAGAAGTA